GTCCTCTGGACATTCAAAAAAACAAAAAACAAAACAAAGCAAAAAAAATTGTTGTGGCAGGTTGGCTTTCTTGGACTGTGAGGGCTCAGTCTCTGATAGAGGACATTTGCAAACCAAGGTGTACTACAAACCCATCCACACAGACCGGTATTTGCAGTTTGACTCCCATCACCCTTTGGAGCACAAGTTAGGAGTCATCAGGACTCTGTACCACAGAGCAGACAGCATCCCCACTGTTAGGATTTGTGGTCAGAAGCGAACCCAGAGTGCAGAACAGGGACTCAACTCGGCAGAATTACAAAAATAGGAATTTAATGATAAATGAAAGTACAAAATAACAAGCTGACGGGGCAGCAAAACTTACATGAACATAGGAAGGAGGCACGGGAAACTCAGGAGGACTCAGGAGACACAGGAGACTCAGGTATGTTGGTTCAGGTATGTTGGTTCAGGTATGTTGGTTCAGGTATGTTGGTTCAGGTATGTTGACGACACCTGGGTTAAAATTAAATCTCAGGAAGTCCAACATTTTACTGACCACATCAACTCTGTGGATAAATACATCAAGTTCACACGAGAAGATGTAAAAAATGGCAAGTTGGCTTTCTTGGACTGTGAGGTCTCAGTCTCTGATAGAGGACATTTGCAAACTGAGGTGTACTGCAAACCCACCCACACAGACCAGTATTTGCAGTTTGACTCCCATCACCCTTTGGAGCACAAGTTAGGAGTCATCAGGACTCTGTATCACAGAGCAGACAGCGTCCCCACTAGCTCAGGAGCCAGGCAGAAGGAGAAATCCCACACAAGACAGGCTCTAGAGCAATGTGGATATCCTAACTGGGCCTTCCTGAAAGCAGAGAAGAAACCCAAACAGGACTCCAGTCAGCCATCAGGTGAAAAGGAGGAACCCAGACCCAGACCAGTGGTCATTCCATATGTTGAGGGGGTATCAGAGAAACTGAGACGTTTATTTTCTTTTTTTTTTTTTAATTTTTATTTATCAGGAGAATATATAATTGACATTACATACATTATACAAAATTTACATGACTTCTCCAATTTTTTCTTTTTTTCCTTCCCCCTTTTCCCCCCTCCCTCCCCTCTTCCTCTCCCTCCCCTTCCCCCCTTAACCAAAAACAAGACAAAATAAGGAAAGAAAAAAAAAAAGGAGAGAAAAAAAAAAAAAAAGAAAGAAAAAAAAAGAGAGAGAGAGAGAGGGGGAGGAGGAACGAACAGGAGGGACCCAACAAACCAAAAGGAAAACAGTATTTCAGTCTTTCATTTATCCTCTAAAAACAAGTCACATGGTAATGTGATGAGTCAATCATATCAGTCTATACGCTATGAAGGTAAAGATTTTACATATGACACAAAGGGTGTCCACTTGTGGGTAAATTTTTCTGAACTACCTTTCACTGTTAGTAAAATTTTTTCCATCTTCAAGTATGATCTTATGAGACGTTTATTTTCTAAACATAACGTCCCAGTGGCTTTTAAACCCCAAAATACATTACGGCAAAGACTGGTTCATCCCAAAGATCCAGTCCCCCGGCACAAACAGAGTAATGTTGTGTATGTTGTTCAGTGTCAGGAGGGCTGTGATCAGTCTTACATCGGGGAAACAAAACAGCCACTGGCCAAAAGGATGGACCAGCACAGAAGATCAACATCATCAGGCCAGGACTCTGCGGTCTACACTCATCTCCAGGCCAGCGGTCACTCTTTCAGGGATGAAGATGTTCACATCCTGGACAGAGAGGAACGATGGTTTGAGAGAGGAGTAAAGGAGGCCATCTTTGTGAAAAGAAACCGTCCATCATTAAACAGGGGTGGAGGCCTCCGGGTTCAACTGTCCCCCTCTTACAATGCTGTGATTGCTAGTATCACTCAGCCCTCTGTGAACAGTAAACAGCCACCAGGGTGCTAATGGTCCATTGTTAGGCTGATGGTCCTTCTTGAGCATGTGATCAGCTTGTTTTGGTTGTCAGCAGCAAACTGGTTGATCCACTCTGAGAAGGTGCTATTTAAGAGACTGAGCTGAATACAGCACCTCAGACTGAGGAAGTCTCTCGGACGAGAGACGAAACGTTTCTACATTTTTTTGTTGTTTTGCTTTGTTTTGGTTTTTTTTGAATGTCCAGAGGACCAGATTTAACTTTTTTAGATTTTTCTACCTGGATTATTGAGCATGCATCAGGATATCTCTATAAATAAAGTTGATTTGACTGTGATTTTATTGTTAAGCACTTTAGCGACAGTTGCTGTTTTAAATGTGCTTCATGAATAAATGTGACTTGACTTTTTGTACCAGGTGCTCAGTATGTTTGTGGTTCTCCCCCTCAGTGAGACTCTACTCCTCATAATGGCTGATGGACTGCCAGAAGAACCAGAGAACTCACAGGAGGCTGCTCTTCCAGCTGCATCCCACACACAGACCTGTTCTCCGGCTGTATACCAGAACACCTCCGAGCCTCCCTCTGGGTGTCATTTCTACTCAAGCACTCCTACAAATTCACCTCTAATTTTGTCCCGTGTCCCAGAGAAAAAAAGGGGAAATGAAAATTGCCCACTTTTCTGTCCGTACGTGTATGTCATGAGCATGATCACTTGAAAAATAAGTGAGGGACACACTTCCATTTTGGTGTGTGACTACATCTAGGCATAAGAAAGGTCATTACCAAAATTTGGATTGCTACGTCAAAATTCAAAATGGCCACTAGAAAGTGTGTGTAAATATAAATATACATCCGTCATCATTACTGCTGGATAAAAAAATATAATTTCATTATCTACTTACTGAAAAAGAGCCACACCCTAAGACAAGAGAAGATTTTTAATTGTAGTTTACTTGCAAGTGCAGATGTTCACACAGGTTTCCAAAGACGTCTCATTGAAGCCCCAGTCATGAAGATCTGCACCGGACAGTGTACAGGAAGTGTTTTTATACTGCTTATCAGCGCCATGACAACTGCTCACACAGACTCATGTTCGTGCTGCTGTTCAGCGTATTGTTTTTATACTACTAGTGCTCAGTGTATTTTTAATTTAATGTTTTTATTAGTTCAAATCTTAGATCTTATTACTGTTTTTGTTTTACATTTTATACTTTTGTTGGATGTAACTGGGACCCTGTGTACACAGTTTTGTTCCACCTCATGTACCACATGTGATGTGAACGACAATAAAGATCCTTGAATCCTTGACCTCGGCCTCTTAACTCGGAGGTGTCCGGTGCCTGCAGGCTCCTCTCTGAGCTCACACACGGTT